CTTAGAAAACTCTGTTCTTCCACTTTTCCCGAGAGCTCACTGTCATATCTGATTTAGAAGCATGCTATGTGTAGGGGGTCTGGCTGCCCTAGGCCCTGTATGTCCTGCTGAGACTTGGTTCTATGCCCTCCTGGCCTCCAACCCCAATACGAAGAGCTCCCGCCAATCACATACTTCCCTGCCTCCTCATGTCATGGTAGACCCTGTAGTTGTTGTTAGCTGATGTCAAGTAGGCCCCTATGCTGCCCAGTCCTATCCCACGATTGGTTATGGATTGGACCACTGTGATCCATACAGTGTTCATTGGCTGACTTTTGGAAGTAGGTGGCCAGAACTTTCTTCCTAGATGGTCTTATTCTGGAAGCTCTGCTGAAAACTGTTCAGAATCACAGCAACACGCAAACCTTCACTGACAGACATGTGGTGGCTGCCCATGAGATGCATTGGCCAGGAATTGAACTGGGGTCTCCTGCATGGAAGGCGAGAAGTCTACCACTAAACTACCAATGCCCCATATTAGACCCTACTTCCATCAAAACAAAAGACCATTTTAACTTCCATAGAGCCATTTACTTTCTTTCTCACTTTTATACTATAACTTCAAAATCATAGCAAACAATCGATTTCAAAATTCCGATAAATATATTAATTTTAATATTATACCACAGTGACCACCAGCCCTCTCCTTAATTTTGTTTTCATGAGCCAGTGGCATGGATTCGAGGTTCTAACCCTCGTCGGGGAATAGTCCTTGACATGGCTAATCAGGGTTGGGCCTCAAAGCATGAATCTGTCTGATAAAGACAAATGCTTGCTTCTAGCTTTCCCTCTTTCTCTTTCAAACCAAATATTAATAAACATCGCGGACACTGACATCCACCACCAGGCGCCCTGTCCTTGTTTCTTGAGGGAAAAAGCCTGGAAAGGGTTTGCCCAGCTGGGCTGTTTCTCTCCAGAAACTGCCCCCCATTCCAGGATTCAGTCATCACAAACATCAGTTGGTAACTAAAACCTCTAAACCAGAAATGATACATTGTAACGATCTGCTCATGCTAAGAAGCCACAGCTTTTTACAGTCACCACAAAAGGACACAGATTACAACCCCCATTTCAAGTTGGGTTTCTCAAACTATCCCTACAAGGCGGGGGAAGAGCTGCCCTCCCCAAACTACTCCACCAACATTTTCTGTTCATCAGCTGAGCCCAAAGGTAACACGTGGCTGCCTACCAGAACATTCTGTTGCGAGGCAAGAAAGGTCAGGGATTTTTATTAGTAACGTCAGCGCTGTGGTCCGTGTGGCTGAGTCAGAGCCAACTCACCCTCCAGGCAGTTACACAGAATCCCTTTCCAGATCCTCAGCACAGCCCCATGTCCTGTCTAAAGCCGGGCCGTGAATCTTCAACGAGGGTCATCAGAAAGCTGCTATCTGACCAACGGTCCTTAAGTTTCTGACTGAAACCCTCTTGATGCCGTGTTTACCTCCTTATCCCAGGTAGCAGCAGCTATACCCTGATGTCTAGTTTCCTTTCGGCTTGGCTGCCAGCAAACCAAAGGGACCCTGGTTTTCTGATATATATAACAAGCTCTTTTACTTTATTACCAAGAGCTTGTAATTTATGTCCTTATTTTAATGGTCCTAGTGCACGTGTGTTGCACAGTGGTGAAGAGCTTGGCTGTTAGCCAAAAAGTCAGCAGTCTGAATCCACCAGCCGCTCCTTGGAAACCTTATGAGACAGTTCTACTCTTCCTGATAGGGTCGCTACGAGTCAAAATCAACTCAGCGGCAACAGGTTTGGGTTTTTTTAGTACATGAGTATAAGGAGCCTTGGTGGCACAGAGGTTAAGCGCTCGGCTGCTAACCAAAAGGTCTGAGGTTCGAACCCACCAGCCGCTCTGTGGGAGAAAGATGTGGCAGTCTGCTTCCATAAAGATTACTGTCTTGGAAACAGTTCTACTCTGTCCTATAGGGTCGCTGTGAGTCAGAATGGACTCGACAGCAACGGGTTAATTTTCTGCTTAGTGCATGGGTGTATTATATAAGTGATCCCAAATCATTTTTGGTATAGAGTAGAAATGACCAAAAAAAAAAAAAAAAGTAATACTGGTTTCCTAACCTATAAAGTAAAAGCCAAGCAATACCTGGAACCCTGGTGGCACAGTGGTTAAGAGCTCGGCTGCAAACCAAAAGGCTGGCAGTTCAAATCCACCAGCTGCTCCTGGGAAACCCTATGGGAGGGTTCTACTCTGGCCTATAGAGTCGCTATGAGTTGGAATCAACTCACCGGCTACAGGTTTGGTTTTTTAAGTAACACCTAACTCGTAGGACTGATTAATTAGCATAATGAATGTACAGCACCTGACACAGTACCTGGCACACAGTAGGTAAGCACTAGGCGACAGATGTGATTTGACTTACATATCGTGAGTAAATTACTGATCAGTGGCACAGGTCCACCACGTTTCCCGTCATTCTTTTCCTCACTCACACATGCTTTAAGGAGAGTGGAGTTAAACTGCTCCATTCCATTCCAAAAACATGGAGGTCTGCACATGTCCTATTTGTGAAGCAGCCTGGCCACAGGCTTCACCAAGGGTAGGTTGGTCTCACCTTTTCAAACATTCCACACCACAGAGGCCTCAGATGGAGAGGCTGTGGTTTCATCCTCAGGGGCTCTGCTTCCCAACACTTTCGAGTCATCAGAGACAACAGACTTCCCAGGAAGACCATAATCACCCAACCAGAAGGAGGGCAAAATGCTAACAGGATTCACTGGCTTTGATTAACAATACGGTATTTGTTTTTGTCCGCAATTAGCGTTCAAGAGCATGCTATAAAGCACCCTCCAAGACATTCTAAGCAGACTGTAGCTAAAGGGTACTAAAGTATGACTGAATCTAACCATTCTTCTTTGCAGACCTCCTGTGCTAAGACGTCAGCGTTTGATCCAGCACAATCGAACACGTCATCAGGGAAAAAATGGGCCTCTTGTGTTCTCAATGTCCAAGAATGAAACGCCTCTGTGCAGCCTGTGTGCCCACACGTGTGTGCAAACAGTACTTGAGTGTGCACAGTGCTGAATACTGCGTGCAGCATTGTAGCTCACGTCAGTGTCGTCCAAATAATCTTATTTAAATTTACCATTCAAAGGTCAATAACACCTGGATGCTGGCAAATGTTTTGACAGCTCTGCTTCTCACAACCCTCAGGGAGTTAATTCCTAGGTACTATGAAGGGCCATCAGAGCCCTGGTGGCGTAGAAGTTAAGAGCTTGGCTGCTAACCAAAAAACGTCGGCAGTTCCAATCCACCAGCCGCTCCTTGGAAATCCTATGGGGCAGTTCCACTCTGCCTATAGGTCAGAGTCAACTTGATGGTACAGGTTTATGGTTTATGAAGGGCCAGGAAAGGCTTGGCGATCTACTTGCGGAAGATAAGCCATTGAAAACCGTACGGAGCACAGTTCTGTTCTGACACATGTGGGGTTGCCATGAGTTGGAATTGACTCAGTGGCAGCTAGCTTTTTGTTTTTGTTTTTTTAATGGAAGACCAGGTGACTCATGTGAGAGCGCGAACATTAAACCATGCATGGTACAACGATGTTTGCCAAAGCCATTTTGATGTACACTTTTTTTTCCCTCCAGCAACCACTCTTGGATACAGGTTTTTAACAACTCAGAGATGTTAATACCGATGTGATTGTACTTAATTAACAAAATTATTTTCTAGCAGTGTGGGCAAAATAGTATTGTCACCAGTACTTGAAAAATACTGTTGAGACGAAATAACCACGTAATTAGAGACAATTGCCCCTCTTGCTCCTCTAGGCCCTGAGTCAATAACATGCAATTTCCTCTTTAATCCCAGGAAATACACATAATGTCATTTCCACTCTCTGTACCCATATCACAATATCCAACAGGTACGGAAAAGCCAACTACCAAACCCTTCCTCGGTAGTGGAATAAATGAAAATGGAACCAGATAAAACAACACAAAAACTACAGTCACAGAATGGCTGACACTAGAGGAAAACACCTGCTTTTTTAGTTCCCCTGTACATTTCATGCTACTCTTACAGAGGCTGGGGTTAAGGTCCCAGGTACAGTACTTACTGTTTAGTCATTAGAAAACCTTTACAGTATTTTTTGCAAGAGCTAGATGTCCATCTAACCATATTCTTCTCAGTCCAATATAAAACTTCCCACTGTTTTGCATTCTCTGGCCTCCTCAATGTAAAATCTTTCTATTTTTCTTTCTTCTTTTCCAGCTCTCAATCACATCACAATTTTTCCTTTGGAGAATATTTTCAGAGAAACATAAAACAGACAACCACTCCAGGAGAAAAAGAAAACCTTTTAGGGTCAGCTGGCTTTCTGCCACAGGAGACTTCCCACAGGTGATCTCAAGCTTGGGACGGCGCCCAGCCTCTCTGACCCTCTGTTTCCTCATCTAAAAACGAAGAGTTTGCCTCAGATCTTCTCTAAGGCATCTCTGGGCTCTAAGGTTCTGTGGTTATTTCATCAGAGAATTCAGGGAAAAATTTCCACGTGCAAAGGCAGTAGCTGTTAATTTTTTGAAACTAAGACCCTGAAATTCTCCCTTCAGAAAGCTGGACTTTGTTGGAAACTGGCTGAAAAGAAAATAGGAAAGTCAATGGTACAAAGATAAATCCATTATTTGAATGATAGAGTGAATCAAAGATCACGCTGCTCAACGAAAGGAAACACAGCTAACTAACACATTCTGGGAACAGCCTCTTCCCTGTCGAGGTCGGCTTTAAAAACAGATAAGAACGTCAAATTAACACGTGGATTCTCAGACCCCGCCCATCTGCGCAGCGATCTCTCTCTCTCGGCTCTCAGCTTCCTGGCCTCAGTCCTTATTGTGAAAGAAGCAAAGGCACACAGCAGCACCGTTTTAGAATTTAAAGGAGTCAAGTCAAAAACAGCTATTCAGACAGGAATTTAAAGAGGCAGAACAGCACAGAGGCGGATACTTACTTGTGGCCCAGCTCATGAGCGATGGTAAAGGCCAAATTGAGACCATTGTCTTCGGCAAGCACACATTTCCTCTTAGCACTGCACACACCTCCTAAGTAAGCAATTCCTGCAGTGGAGACACAAAACACATCCGCTTCAGAACGCGGGAGGCCCTGCTCTCGCCGGCAAGTCCGCAGGGTCCACATCATGTTCGTCAAGAGAGGGTACACTGGGACGAAGATGATCACAGGGCTGATTCTGTCACTCCTACCGCTCATATGGGATTGTTTGTATGGGGTTTCATACTCATCTAATCATAATAACCACCACACACATCGACCGAGCATTTAACATGTGTAGACACTGTGCTGAGTAGGGTGATACATATGAACTAATTTAAGCCTCGTTACCCATGACGGCCACCGTCTGTCAGTTTGCTGTACTGTGGGGGCTGACATGTTGCTAAGACACTCTAGGAAGAAAGGCCTGGCGATCTACTTTTGAAAATCAGCCAATGAAAATCTTATGGAGCACTATGGATATACTGCTGGAAGATGCCCCCTAGGTTGGAAGGCGCTCTAAGTACACAGTGGCATACCAACAATCATGAGGATGACGCAGGACCAAGCAACATTTCCTTCTGTTGTATAGGAGGTCACCATGAGTCAGAACTGACTCGACAGCAGCTGTCTATCTACCCATGATGGAGGTAACAGAAGGTTTAGAGAGGAAAAGTAACTTTCCCAAGGTCACCCAGCTGGGCAGCCTAGTGCTGGGATCCTTAACCAGATCTGTCTAGCGTCAAGATCCAGGCTGGGACTAGGGGGAGGCAAGCAAGGCACACTGTGTGCAAAATTTAGGGAGTCACTCACTCTCAGGTGCCAACCTTGGCCTTGCATGACGCTGAGTGTGCGCCTCCTTACATGTTGGCCACGGGGCCCCTCGCTTGCCTCACCCTAGTTTGGATTCGGGTGGGCTCACCAAGCAGGCCACACACATCTAGGCAGAAGGTTCAGAAACATGTTCCCGGTGCCCTTGAGAGAGCGAGACCAGGGCTCAGGAGGAGTATAGAGAATGCTGGAAGAGAGAACAAGGATGAGCCCCACAGGCCAACGGGCTCATCTCCTGAGATGGAAAAGTTGGGCCAGCCCATAGCAAGAGGGGCACAGCAGCCAGGGAGGGGTGTGAACAAGCACTGAGCCCAGAGGAGGGGGGCTGCTGGGTGGGTAAGTCAGGGGCCAGCCTCTGGAGGACAGAAGTAGTTGTCCAGGGGAGAAGGGCAATTCTGGGCAAAAGAATGTGTGTAAACAACACGGGGTCTGAAGTGCCTGGAGGTCCAAGGGGTGGGGAGCAGTCATCTGTGGAAGGCTGGGAGGGTAGCCGCACTCTGGCTTATGCGTCAGGGGGTCCACACTGCCCAAAGCATCTATCCACGTGTCCTCTCAGCTTCCACTGCCCCTGCAGCCACATCCCACATGTTATGATTGAACAGTCCTCACCCCTGACACCTGGGAACATCAGCTTGTTTGGAAATAGGATCCTTAAAGATGGAGTGGGGTGGGTTGTAAACCCAACCGAATGGTGTCTTATAAAAGAGAACAAACACAGAGTGAGGCAGAAGACACTCATGTGACGATGGAAGCAGACGCAGCTACACGCCAAGGAATGCCAAGAGACACCCGGGGCCACGGAAGCTGGGAGAGACAGCAAAGACAGCATGGCCCTGCCGACACTCTGAATTCAGGCTTCTGGTCTGTTCATTAAAGCCGCCCACTTTAGGAGACTGAGCCACCCGTGAGCCCAGGCACCCCCAGGGTTTACCTTGACCCAGCCTCTGGGCAGCCCCCGAGTGCTGGAGAGGGCTGCCAGGGAGTCGCGTTCCCCCAGGGCCACAGCCTGCACTTGTGTGAGGACTGGGACCCTCCCTCCCCCTCGCATGACGGGGGTCTCACCTCTGAGAGAGGCCCCCACAGAGCCGTGAACGAGTAGGCGGGCTCACTTATCGCCATAAGAGGTTCTGAGGTCAGACTTGTGGTGAGCAGGGGGCAGTGGGGGTCCCACTGGCACTGTGATGAGGCATGTGCTATCCCCTGGAGGCTGTCCCAGGCATGGGACACATGGGGAAGGGGTGCCTTTTGCCCCACCTAAATGCACTGTCCCCTGCTGAGCTGCCCACTACCCCTTTGGAGGGCTCCTTTCACAAGTCTGCACAAGATCTTGTAGGCACTGGGGTCAAGGAGGCGAAGAACTGACAGAGTGCAGAGGAAAAGAGGGACAGAAGAAATCATTTAACTAAAGATCAACCCACCTCCCTGCTCCCAAAGAGCTAAAACAATGTCTTCTTTGTTTACATCAAATTCAGACTGCTATGGAAATTTGTCAACTACAGGACATGCCTTCCTCTCTGGTCCCCTCCATGAGGTGCAGGATGGAGCTCACACGGGCTTGCTGCTTGGGCCAGTCAGCTCCCTGGGGAGACCCGCTGTGGGGCTGGGCGCCGGGGGTTCGGCTCAGCTTGGTGCCCTAAGCCAGCATGACAGTATGTGTCTGTTTTTATTTGGAGACATGCAAAGTGCTTGGCCAAGGCTAAAGGGTTTTTTTTTTAAAGAAAAAAATTAAATGTTTTTGGTCTCAAAATGCTTTTTTGCATGTGGACATCATAACCCAGCAATGCAGACTATTGGAAGGAGAAAAACGATAAGAAGAAAGGATGTGATCTGGCTTTTCACTGCTTTCAAGGTCATTAATCTGGTTTTGTTTAAAAATGCTTTGTGGGTTGCTGTTAAAAGTCCACCAGTGACTAGGTGGAATGCTCCTACATAGCCTTGATGGTATGCACATCCAGTACACACACACACACTCCTACACACACACCCATACACTGTCATGCACACATATACTCTCACACTCACTCTCAAAACACTCTCACACACACTCACACATACTTGCACAGACACACCCATACACATTCACACAAGCACACACAGCACTCTCTCACACAATGCATACAGGTGCACATACACACATCACACTTACATACACACACACCCAGCAGTGTCCTTCCACCCAGGCTGTAGCCTCTCGGGGTCAAGGAATCAGAAACAGTCAATCGTGCACACCCTAGAGGAGTTGCCTGGTGAGGGCAACGGGAGACAGACCACAGCCAGATGAGCCGAGCTTGCTGTCCCCAGGCACTGTAGGCTCGCTGCTGACCCAGCTGGCCTCCCCCGGCCTTAGCCACAGTCAGCACAGACCCGGGCAGCCCCGAGTTTCCCCTCTAATGAGGGAACGTGCAACGCTAAGGGAACAGCACAGCAAAGAGCCAGTAGTAATTGCATTTTAATTTTTCCAAGGTGCAGAGGACTTCTTTATTTTTACCAGAAAACAAAGGGTCAGTTTATTTACAAGACATGCTGTCCACAAAGGCAGATTAAGGTCTAGCTGCTTTTAATGATTTATTCCTATCCTGAACAGCCCGGTCATAAAACCAAGCAAGGGAAAACGCGTAAAAGAAAACGGCCCCAATGGTCGAGCACAGGAGCTGTGTGCGTTTATGAGCGACAGCGTGGAAATGCTTAGAATGCACAAAACAAAGTCTGGAGAGAATCCCAGGTTGTAAAAATAAAGCTGCAGGGAATAAGTAGTAATTAAACCATCCGGCTTCCGAGGGAAACAAAGCCGGCCACTCTTCCGTGTTGCCCGTGAAGAAAGGGTGGTCTGAAGAGGAGGGTGACCTGGAGCCGGGGAGATTCCCGGTCACCTCAGACTGCAGAAGGCACCACCCTGGAAAAACTCACCAAATCTCACACTGGTTCTTGTCAAGAAAAGGAGGAAAAACAAGTTTTCTATAAATAGATTTTTTTTTTTTTTTTAATTAAAAAGTGAAGTTTTAAACACGTGTTCTGAGGCCGAGAAACCAGAGGGACTTTCTTATGTCAACTGGAGTCCCCTTACATACAGAGTGAGGGGTTCTCAGTCCTCAGAGTGGTACTGTCAGTGGTTTTCACCCTTCCATGATTTGAAATTCTCCACAAAATAAATCAGAGTAAAATTCATTTAAAAAAAAAAATTATAAACATGAATTCCACATGTTTGCAGAGCTCTCTGGAATGAACGGGAAGCAGAAAGGCCACTGGCATTGGCTGGGGCCCTTCCCGGGGCAGGCGCTGCTTTAACGGCTGGCTCTTTCTCATTCCGCAAGTAGTACTGCCGATTTGTCCCACTGTGGTGGCTTGCGTGTTGCTGTGAGGCTGGGAGCTATGCCACTGGTATTTCAAATACCAGCTGGGTCACCCATGCTGCACAGGTTTCAGTGACACTTCCAGACTGAGACAGAATAGGAAGAAAGGCCTGGTGATCTACTTCTGAAAATTAGCCAACGAAAACCCTACGAAACAGAATATTGTCTCATACTGTGCTGGAAGATGAGCCCTCTAGGTTGGCAGGTACTCAGAATACACAGTGGCCACAGTGATGGATTCCAGCATACCAATGATGGCGAAGCTGGAGCAGGACCAGGCACTGTTTTGTTCTGTTGTGCATGAAGTCACTGTGAGTCAGAGCCAACTCAACAGCAACTAACAACAACAACACCACCATTGGCCCCATTTTACAGACAAGAAAACGGAGGCTCAGAGACCAGTTCCATGGCTAATCAGTGCCCAGCCAAGGATACAAACGCAGGGCACTCTGCCTCAAAGCACCCACATTCCTCCAGGCAAACCCTGGGCCACCCTCACCAAAGCTTTGGTAACAAACAACAGTGAATACCGTGGGAGGATTCAAAAGACTTTCGTAAACTTTAGCGTGTGCTTATGTGGGGATATGGGTGGGGCAGAGTGAAGGTTTCAGTGTTTAAGTCCAAAAGTGTTTAAATGTAAAGATAAAAGACTAGAGGGATACAGACAACAATATTAACAGTGGTTCCTTCTCTAGGGCCTGGTAAAGGAATTATGGATCTTTTAAATTTTCTTCTTTTTATTCTTGTTTGGTTTAAGCCTAATACAATTAATATTTGATTTGCAAATTCAAGTTATTTATTCTATTTCATTTATCCAAGGTGATATACAGCAGAGGCAGAGGTGGAAGACCAAAAACAAAACGCCCTCTGAGTTTTGACTCAGAGGC